GAAAGCTTAAAATGGGCTCCTAAAGGTACACTAACCGGCTTCGTATCCATACTAATATTAAACCGCTGTAGAACTTTCTTTAAATAAGCCATCAGTGTCAAATAAATTCTGCCCTTCTTCTTATCTCTGTCGATCTTCATCCCGAAAATGCGTTTAACCTCACCCAAATCCTTCATCTCAAACTTCTTTGAAAGCTGTGCCTTCAACTCATCTATAGAAGACCTGGAAATAGAGACAACTAACATGTCATCGACATAAAGTAACAAATAAATATATGTACCTCCTTTTAACTTGCGAAAATACACGCAATGATCAAACTAGCTCCGAGTGTATGAATGACAAATCATAAAACCATCAAATCGCCTATATCACTATCGAGGAGACTGTTTCAAATTGTATAGCGATTTCTTTAACCTGCAAACTAACTTATCCTTCCATGCAACTCAGAATTCTAATAGCTGAGTCATATATATTTTATCATCAAGATTACCATGAAGAAATATCGTCTTCATAACCAACTGATCTAACTCTAATCCATACTGTGGCACCAAAGCTAGCAAAATCCGAATTGAAGAATGCTTTATCACTGGAGATAAAACTTTATTATAATCAATACCTTCCTCCTATGCATAGCTCTTCACAACCAACCTAGTATTGAATCTCACTGGAGTGCCTTCAATGCCCTCATTCTTCATGTATACTCATTTACAACCAATCGCCTCCGCCCCTTTGGGAGCTCAACAAGCTCTTATGTATCGTTCTTGTGAAGAGACTCCATCTCCTCCTACATAGCTATCTGCCATGAATCAGCCTCAGAACTTTGCTCGGCCTCTCTGAATATAGTAGACACCAACTCATCGATACTCTCCACCGGAAGTGTATATATAACTACTAGGTCGGTATACCAGCTGGCATCCGTATGTCTCTCCTTTGTCTCCGAACCATAATAGAATCCTGAACCTAAGTCGTCGGTTCTGGATCCTGCACATGTACTCGTATCCCTCAAATCACCGTCGTGCTCGCCTGGCATCACCTCAGTTGGCACTCTAATGTATACTGCACCATCTGAATAATGTGGAGCTGCATCGATCTCCACCACCTGCGATATCTCCTCTGTCGGGTCGCTCTCTACCTGATGAGAATTGTAAAGCTTCAAAATAGAAGCCTCATCGAATATGACGTCCCTACTCAGCACAATCTTCTTATCAGCTAGATCCCAAAGCTTGTATCACTTGGCACACGCTTGAATCCTACAAATATGATATTCCTAGCTCGAGGTTCTAACTTATCAGTTCTCACATGATAAAATGCAAGACACCTAAATACCTTGAGCTGGTCATAGTCATGTGCTGGCTCTCCCGATCACATCTTCATAGGGGTCTTCCCCTCAATCGTAGATGAAGACAGCCTATTAATGAGGTAGTTCACATATGAAAGTGGCTCAATAAACATCGAATCTTCTCCAGCAAAGACTGGTTTAGCCTCTCTGTCACCTAATTCTGCTACGGTGTGTGACTAACTGTGAAGTATCTCTCTATGCCATCGTCTCGACATAGCTGCTGAAAGGGGTTAGATGTGTACTCGCCGCCGTTGTCGGATTGTAACGTCTTGATCTTTCTCCTAGTCTATAGTTCCAATCTCTTCTTCCACTCCACGGATGTACACCCAACAACGTCTAGAATAGTTATCAACGAACATGACGAACCAATATCGACCATCAAGTGATGCAGCCTTGGTGAGATCCTAAAAATCTGTATGCACGTAATTCAGGATGTCCATTGTCCTATGAATGGTAGTCTCGAACTTTACTTTCATCTTCTTGCTAAGAACACAATGCTCACAGAACTCAACATTTCCACTCTTAACTCCCTTCAGTAGTCCCTGCTTGCACAAAACATGCAGTAACTTCTCTTCTGTGTGCTCCAACCCATAGCGCTAAAGTCTGCTCATGTCCGCCTTTGAAATAGCTGAAGCAACCTGGCCAACATCGGTGCTCCCCTTTAGATAATATAAGTTCTGACTGTAGACTTCTTTCATCACCACTAAAGATCCCTTAGTAATCTTTGCTACAGTGTCCTTAAAGGTCACCTTGAATCCCTTCGCCTCCAAAGCTCCAACATAAATAAGATTCTTCTCAGCTAAGAAACGAATCTCACCTCCTTCAATTCATGGACTACCCCATCGTGTATCCGAATCCGTATGGTACCTATCTCACAAATGCCACAGAATTGATTATTTCTTATGACAACAACACCCCCATCAAGTCTTTCAAATGATGCAAACCAATCTCGTCTAGGGGTCACATGATAAGTAGCGTCAGAATCAAGCATCTAATCTGATGCATCCAAATGGTTCATCTCTGGAGTAATCAAAAGCGAAAAGCTCGAATCATCATAATCATCGCCTTTTGCAACATTCACCTCATTGGCCTTCGGGTTCTTTTTCTTGCTATTCTTCTTCTCTTTGACCTTTGGACAATCTCTTTTCCAATGCCCTTGTTCCTTGATGAATGCACATTGGTTCTTTCCTAGCTGGTGACGACCTTCTTACTTTGACCTTCCTTTATTTTCACCCTTCGGATATGGGCTTCTACCTCTTATCGACAAGACCTCTCCTGAAGTACTAGCGCGGGAAGTCTCATTGTCCTTCCTCCTCAAATTATAATTCATCAAAGCGTTAGTTACTTCACTATAGAAGATAGAAGATCTCCCGTTCAATAAAGTAAGCACAAATGTATCATACTCCTCATCTGGTAAGGAGCCCAAAAGAATAATGTCTTGTACTCATCCGATATCTTCTCATCCATATTCGCCAAGTCCAATAACAACTTAGTATAGTTGTTCACATGAACTGCTAGTGAGATGCCTCAAGACATCTAAAATCTGAATAACCTACACATCAAATACAATATGTTCTCAACACTTTTTGTAAGGTACTTATTGTTGAGAATTTCTCACATCTTCATTGCAGACGTCACCTCAATCACATCATACTTCAACTCCTGTTCCAACCAAGACCTAATCACCCCACAAGCGTTCCTATTCATCTTTTCCTATATAGACTCTTCATATTTAGGTGGCCTCTCTTGGACCATGGGTCTCCTCTAAATTCTGAGCATTGAGAGCGTCCTGTACGTCGCTCATCCACAAACCAAAATTGATCTTACCGTTATACTTTACCATACTAATTTTAGTGTTCTGAAAACCAACTTGGAATGTACCCGTCATCTTGCTACTTTCTCCAAGTTCTTCACCCATACTCACAGACTTTAAATTACAAAGAAATATTCAAACTTTATAAAATTTAGAAGTTACCTAACTGAACCCTAGAACGGATTCCAAATAGATCTCCTAACCACACGAGGAAAGTAAAATCTTCAATGGCAACCCCAAACAATATCTCCACCGAAGCCTAGAACTCAAAGAATCAAGTTTCTAAACTGAATCTTCCTCCACCTAATCCAAAACCCTAGATCTGAAATCTGTGCACTTATACCAATTGTTGTCCGCCTATGCGGAAGCGTGCTCGCACACCAAACGTATTTGTAAAGCACGAAAGAAGAGAACCAATCCACACACGAGCACAATCCAAACCAAAATACGACAAATCAATCCAAACACAGAGATATACGTGGTTCAGCAATTTGCCTATGTCCACGGGGAGAGGATGAAGAGATTCCACTAAATCAAGAAGAATATAAAAGCGTTACAACTCACAAAACTCACAAAAAAACCCTAAACCAAAGCTCTCTCATTGCTCACAATATCTCCCTCTCACAGTGCTCAGTACAATCTCAAATCTCTGTTAAAACTCTTCTCTCTTTAACCCTAGAAACGAGTGTTTCTAATATATATTAAAACTCAATCAGAAACGGAGCAGGAAACAAAACAGTCCAATGTCCGCTACGCGGTTGACCGCCGCACCCCAAATCGCGATCGACCGCCAAAAGTCCAGAGACTTTTGTGTCTCATGGGTTTGGGCGCGATCGACCGCCGAACCCATCGTGGTCGACCGCCGAGAGGCATACTTCTGTTTCGTGCATGTTTGTGGTCGACCGTCATGCCATGCGCAGTCGACCGTATAACCTGCAGATTGTTCTCTTGCATTTTCTACTGAACTTCGTCGTCGTTTCTACATTAACCAGTCAACCTCCCTATAACTTTTTGCAGCCAACGACCTATATATGCAAAATTATAGGAAGGTCCACATCAGTAGCAAGCCCAAAAAATTTTATTAGAAGGGAGCGGGGAGTAAGAATCCGAAAATACATAACCAAAAAAATTATTTTTTTCATATTAGTCCATTAGTTTTTTAATATTTAGAAATATGTTCAAACATTGAGAGACGACTAATGTCTCTAGACCCGTCAAACTTATCAATTACTTCTAATTATCCTAAAATCCCCCATGGAAGTTGTTTGGCTGCTGAATGGTTTGCAACTTTCTATTGATATTTGCATTATTGACAATGCCCTTTTTGTTTTTTCAATGAAAAATATAATAATTTGCAAGTTGAATAATAATAAAACCCTAAAAGTGCATATTATATAGTGTCATTTGGGGGTGGGATGGGGGGATAGTAACTACGTCTTCTCTTGTGGAAAAACGAATCTAATATTCTAGAAGTTAGACAACCCTAAACTCAAACTACAGAACAACAATACGAAAGATTAAAGAAAACTAATCAGCCTTAAAAGGTCATCAGGCCATAAATACAAGCCCACGGGCCAATCCGCGTTTGCCTACAAAATATCTAAAAAAAGTCAATGGCCCACTGGATGATCTAGGGTTTTCCTTGCCACAAAAGCAAACCACCCCAAAAGCCGAAAGCCGAAGCAACTACATACATCTCACTGATAAATCAAATCCCCTCATAAAATATAATATATCCGGTTTCGGAGCCAGATCCGTGGTGCTATATGAATCACCGCTTTCCCTTAACCTAAACCCCCTCTCTTTCTCTCTCCACTCCCTGTTTTGTGACGGCCTTAGCTACTCTTCTCGCTCTCTCTCTCTCTCTCTCTCTCTCCTAGGGTTAGGGTTTTTCTCTCTCCTCCCCCACTCTCTCTTTCTCTCTCCTGAGTCGGCTAAGATTTGGGCTTCGTTGTCGAAATCTTCTATCAAGGAAACCTCCACCCGTCTCCAGATCTCACGATGGCGGCCGTCGCTCCCGCAGCTGACAGTATCCTTTTCTGCTAGGTTTTCTGTTCTCGATTTTTTTTTATTAAAGATCTGTTATTTGCTCGGCCTTGGATCTCGATAGGCGTGGAACACTGTTTCTTTCAACGGATTTGGGCTAGGGCTTCGGGGTTTTGGGGTATCTGTTAGGGTTTATGGTTAGATCTTGGATCTGTGATGAGGATTTAGGGTTTTTGGATGGGGTTTATGTAGTTACTTAGCTGATTGATAGCGTTTTGATTTTGCGTTTTTAGTTTTGAATTGATTTTAGTGGGAAGATCTTGTTGATTTTGATTTGGACAATTTCTAAGCTGGGAATTCGATCACAAAGGATTACTTTTATTTAGAAAGTGGTGAAAAGATTTTATTTTTATGTTATTTTCTTTATTTGTTGGGGTTCCCCTTGACTTTCTTTGTTATAGAAACTACTGATTTGCTGCAGAAGCTTTCCATGGAGCCCAAGAGCAAGGCAAATGATGCTCCTGATGCTAACAAGAAGGTAAGCTCCTCGTCAAGATTCTTTTCGAAGAATTCTTTCATTTGGGTGCGGGTTATATGCTTTGGTAATTTTTTTGTAGCTGGCAAGTTCAAATCAGGATGTTATTTAATATTGCGTTTTTCGATTGATGTAGCATGCTGCTTTCAATGGTGGGAATAAGCAGAATGCAGCTGTACCGACCGTGGATCGTTCAGTGACACCTATACTTCAGAATACCGATCCGAACATTTGGTATTTTTCCAATGGGTACGCGCCTTATATGTATGGAGGTAAGATCAGTATGATTATCTTTTCCTGTGCTGTATTATTCGTATTATTATCATGTTACAAGCTATTTGTTGCAGTATGTTCCTTCTTGTGATCATATGGTTATTAGTGTCGAGGAATGTAATTAAGCCATGTGGCTGATGGATGTTGTCTTGCAGTTGACTAATGCTTCCCTTGCTTATAGTGCTTCTGATATCAATTCTGTTTTGGTAGCATGATGTTTGTTATCTTTATTGTATCTTTTAATGTCTGCTGATCAAGTGAAATTTTGATGTGTTTTCAGGTTTTGACTCAACGAATGAGTGGGAGGAATACCCTAGATATGATGGAGGAGAGATGCCACATCCGGTAAGTTATTTTTGTAGATAATCATTACATTCGAATTGAATAACTGGTTATTGGCAATGAAAAAAATATATTCTATTTGCTGGTTAATTATATTGCCAATTCTGAATCTGTTTTTACTCATTGAAAGGCTTAGTTTAGCTGGTAGCATTCTAAAATATCTGATTATATCAGTTTGTTTTGTAATTAATGGGAAGACAGTACTAAGATTCTTTAGTGGTTTAAAACTTGTTTCTTTGCATTCAAAATGCTTGCTTGAGTCTGTTGAAATATAGTTAATCTTAGAGCATGTGTATTTAAACCTCTCTAGTTTAAACACAACTAAATTTAGAACAAAAAAATTATCCCGATGTTTTTGTTGTGGTTTGCAGGGAGTTTATGGAGATGTTTATCATCCTGGATATGGATATCCGTCTTACGGTGCATATCCATCTCCTGGTTCCCCAGCTCCTACTGTTGGGCATGATGGTCAGTTGTATGGCCCTCAACACTACCAGTATCCTGCACAATACTACCAACCACCTTCACCTGCCAACGCACCATATACACCTAGCCAAGCTCCAGCAGCAAAAGAAGTCGTTTCTACCTCTACTGCTCCAGATCAGCCACCTATTTCTCTCGATGCAGCGAAAGTGCATGCAAATGGAGTTGCTAATGGGACAACAACTGGGAACAATGGTTCAGTGCTGCAGAAGCCAAGCCCACAAAATACGTCATTGACGTCAAATGGTTCATATGGTAGAGGTGGGATTCCTTCGTCTGGTTACCAGGATCCAAGATTCAGCTTTGATGGAATGAGATCACCTGTACCTTGGTATGATTCCTCTCTCTTCCCTGATGCGCAGCACAGGATGTCGACAAATCCATCAACTGGTTCACATGGTACAAACTCTACATCCGGAAGAAGTCAGAATCTACGCCCTCTCCCACATCTCATGGTATGCACTATCTTCTTGCCTGATATGTTTATTATGCACATGCTTAAATTGTAGTGTTATTAAGCTACGTATCTGGTGAATGCTGGCAGATTCCATGCTCTTTGTTGGTATCATAATTAGCTATGTCTTTCTGTGCTAGTGTGCATCTATTTATTTTGTTTTTAATAGTGGTTTGGTCATGTACAATGGAGACATCTTAGTGCCCAGTTAGGAAAGTGATGAAAGTGATAATATTATATTTAATCAGGCAAAGAAATCTAGATGTAGACCTAAGAGAACTTTGTAGGATGCAATTAAGGAGGATATGATAATGATTAACTTAACAGGTGAGATGACCCAACATAGAGTGGAATGGAAGAAGAGTATTCATGTAGCCGACCAACCATTTTGGATAAAAGGCCTTGTAATTGTTGTTGTTGTTGGTAGTGTTAATACATGCAGGCCAACTTTATATGTGTTTGCTTTTAGTAAGTAATTGATTCATTTGTTTTGAATACTTGTTTATTAGTATTTTCTTAGATTTTCTTTCAATGGAGCAATTGCTATTCTACCTTTTATAGATTTTTAATTTTCTTATGCATATTTCTTTCTGAATTTCAGGGTTTGCACAACACAAGACCAATGTCCGGGATGGGGCCAGCGACTCCTGGGTTGATGAGTAGGATGTACCCAAACAACAAAATGTACAATGCTTTTAGCACCGGTCTTGGGTTTAGATCAAATTTTTATGATTCCAGGACAAATGGGCGATGGGGGGCTGTTGATAGCAAGTACAGGCCAAGAGGCCGAGGCAATGTTTTCTACGGTTATTCCAATGAGAACGGAGATGGTTTGAGTGAACTGAACAGAGGACCCAGAGCCAATCGCCTTAGAAACCAGAAGGGATTTGGACCTAATGTCACTACTGCAGCAAAGGGAGATAATATTTCAACCAATGCTAATGTTGAGGATCCTAGTGTAGTCCCTGATAAGGAGCAGTACAACAAGGCTGATTTCCCTGTAGATTACTCAGATGCTAAGTTTTTTGTCATTAAATCTTACAGTGAGGATGACATCCATAAGAGCGTTAAGTACAACGTTTGGGCCAGCACTCCTAATGGGAACAAGAAGCTGGATGCTGCTTACCAGGAAGCACAAGAGAAAGCGGGTGGTGGCCCTATCTTTCTCTTCTTCTCTGTAAGCATTAATTTCTATTTTTTTTTGTATGGAATTTGTTTTTTTCCTGACTGTTTGTTATACTGAATGTTTCTGTTTCTCATTTCAGGTAAATACTAGTGGACAGTTTGTTGGTGTTGCAGAGATGGTGAGTCCAGTTGATTTTAACAAGACTATGGACTACTGGCAACAGGACAAGTGGAATGGGTGTTTTTCTGTTAAGTGGCATATTGTCAAAGATGTTCCCAACAGCATCCTCAAGCATATAACTCTTGAGAACAATGATAACAAGCCGGTTACAAACAGTAGAGACACCCAGGAGGTGGGAATAGCTCTTTACTCGTTAGCAATATTTCCCTTAGCTAAATGAGTGTGTTTTCATTGAATTTTTTTTTGCTCTTGCAGGTAAGGCTTGAGCAGGGTCTTCAAGTGCTTAAGCTTTTCAAGGAACATGTCAGCAAGACTTCTATCTTGGACGATTTCAATTTCTATGAGACCCGTCAAAAAGTTATCTTAGAAAAAAGAACAAAGCAACAGCTTCACAAGCAGGTGACTTTTGTTGCTATATTAATAGTTTGAGAAGCTCTTATTTCTTTCATAACTGATTTTAGTCAGCTGCACCATAGAATAGCAAATTTGGTTTTTTTTTCTTTGTGAGGGAATGACATGTAAGATATCTGATTATTTCAAAGAATTTTTAAACATAGGTTCTTTTTGCAAACTACTATAGTAAAAAAATAATAAAAAACGTTCCTCGTGGCATTTCATTGTGTTATTTTCTATGATATACTGATTATTAGATTTCCTGTCCATACGCACCATTATTAACTAACCTTTCTTCAGGCAACGGATGGAAAGTCAACAGACTCTGTTGATGAGAAAGTCAATGGGAAGCCTATTTTGCAGAAACCACTTGAAGCAGTAACCCTTCTGAAGAAGGAAGCCAACACTACTGGTCTTGGGGAAAGTAAACCAGCTGAGGAGAATGGCTTGGCACCAGTTAGTGCTGATGACATCTCGAAAGTTGCTAAAGCAGCGACTGAGAAAAAGATTGTAGCTAATGGTGTGACTAATGGCTGTTAGTTTCATCGATCCACTAGTAATCTGCTGTAGCCAAATGGATTCGATGAGGAAGAAAAAAAAGGTTCATTGAGTTTATTGGAAGTCACTCGCAAATGAGATTTCTGTCTTGAAGGGGCTGCAGTTTTTAACTGGTGGGATTGTGTTCCGTGGCAAATAAAGATCTTTCTCAGCAAATCTGAGCTGGTAAAGGCTGGTGCTTGAGTTCCTCTTTCGATTCTCTCATAGTAGTTGGGTCGTGTTTCTTTCTCTCTAGGTAAAGGACTTCGCGGTGGGTGTATTATTAGTCTGTATCTGCATTATTTTCTTTTCTAAAATTTGTGTTGGGTATTTTAGGAGTATGGAGTTAATGGGGTTTTATATTTGGTTTAGGCCTCTTGACAGTTTTCCTTTTAGTTTCTGTTTGGTATTTTCTTTTTATATCATTAGTATGTTTCCGTTTTAAGACTTCCTTTGTAAAGTGGCGATTGACTGTTGGAGGCATTTTATCTGTAAGAACCGAGAAGCTAAGATTAGATAGTATTTGCAATTAGTGTTTGAAGAGCAAACGCTTCTATTTTGTTGTCTGGTGCTATCATGTTCGGTTGGGTCCATCATTTGAGATTGTTCTTGTTGACGTGTGTTGGTATTACCCGCTATTTGGATTGGATTCATTCTTGCCTGTTTTGTTTGTTTGAAAAAAAAAACTTTTGTGCTTATTTGGAGTGGGCCCAAGGTCAATTAGATTTATTTCTAAGTTTCATTATCTGCAGTGTTGTAGTGTAGATGACAATGGTTATCCATCTGCGACTGCTGGCAGGATGTGTAAATGAAATGATTTGATCCAAGACTTCGGTTCCTTTTCTATTTCCAGGTAAATCCAAAATTGACGAAGCTGGTGCTCTGACTTTTTGCATAAATGTTACTTCTATAGGCCGGGCTCTAATTTCTCAGGCTATGTTTGGGTTAATTAAGTTAAATCATATTAAAACAAAAAACACCTTACTTAATTTAAAACACCGTTTAGATTTTTAAGTTTGGTTTTTTGGTTTTGATTTGAAGGAGGTGTTTATATAATATCTAACAAAATATATTAAATGTAATTAATATATATTTATTATCAACATCTTTATTATATTATATTATATTATATTATAGTTAATTTAATATATTAATTATATTTATTAAATAATATAAATATATAAGAATTAAAATATCTTATATAATCATACTCTCTTTAAAAGCACGAGTTCGGAAAATCTTTTTTAGACAAATATACCTCTTTATAGTTTGAACTACCTTATCTATAATCAAATTCTAATTTTCAATGGTCAATATTACCCTTCACTATTTTGAATATTTTATTTATATCTTAATCTATCCTAATCATAATCATATCTTATCCTAATCCTATGTGAACCATGTTTAGTTTAACAATTTAAAAAAACTAATATTAATAAAATATATAAAACATAAAAATGATATTAATTTGTTAAGATAAAGAAATTACAAGTAGATAACATATTATAATACATGAAGTATTGCAAAAAAACCATAAAAAGTTTTAAAACTGCAGAAAAGACCCTGAAAAGTTCAAAATTATAAAAATCATCCCAATGTCTCAAAACTTAAAATAAAAAACATGAAATTAAAAAATTAACATCAGTTTGCAAAGAATTTAAAATTTACAGTTAACACCTCAATGTCTCAAAAATTATAGAAACACCCTCAAAAGTTTAAATTACAGACAAGCACATTAAAATTCTAAAATTTTAAAACTTACAAACAACACAGATGAATTCAAGAGATTACCATGATACACCTAAAATTTTTGACATTTAAATTTAAATTTTTTAATTAACACCCTCAATATCTCAAAAATTATAGAAACACATTCAAAAGTTCAAATTATAAAAAGCCACCCTAAAATTCTAAAATTTGTAAATAAAATAAGATGAATTCAAGATATTACCCTTAGACACCTAAAAAATTAAAATTTGCCAAAATTAACCTCAAAATTTTTAAAAAACTCCTTCAAAATTTAAAAATAGTAAAAAAACCCTCTAAATTTTCAAAAATTTTAACTAGCACACATCAAATTCGTCGATTGGTAGACCGCTGAAATTTAATATTTTTCAAAATTAATCTATAGTTTTAATAATTGCAAAAGACACCCTCAAAATTTTAGAGTTACAAGAAATATACTAACATTTAAAAAATTACCACCAACACATGAAACATAGAATTTACAACTACCAAACTTAAAAGTAAATTTTTTTAAAAACTCTTTCAAAATTTTAAAAATTATAAATCACACCCTCAAAGTTCAAAACCACAAAAATGGGCTAAAATTTTAAAACTTGGCAAAGAAAAGTGTAATTGTTTGGTATTTTTCATATATATATATATTAAAATTTCTAATTTAGGGATTTACTATCCATTTTCAACATCTAAGAATAGTCTAAGTTGATACTGGTAAACAAAAACAATAAGAATTGATTAAAAACATCCGGTTAATGGATAAAATTTTTAAAAATATTATAGATTAAAAATTATCGGCACTATATAAATTAAAGTAATTTCATATAATTTTAGTAATAAGTTGGGGTAGCCAAAATACATTCGTAACATTAATTGATAGATGTTTAAATCCATAGAAATGATAAAACACTATAATATTATACCTTAGCATTAATTGATTTTAATTTAGAAACTTTAATCTTTGACGTTAATAATATTTATAGGGTAAAAGAATACAAGGAATTACATATGGAGAAACTATTAGAATATTTAGAGATAACTTTAAAAGAATTGAGTTATTTCCATTGCAAATGGGAAAGTGATGGAAATAAATCTAAAATTCAGAAAACGTCAATGAATCACTTGAATTGGCATTAACATAAGACATATCTATTAATGAAGCACTGAATGAGTTACATTAAAAAATAATTTAATAACTTTATCCTAATCAAAGAAAAAACAGGAAAGATAATAGCATAAAAAAATATAAAATTAGCCTGATGTCACAATTGATGTAGATGATGAAGACAATACTCTAGAATTACCCGAGAAATGATAAATGATAAACCTGAAGAAGGATTGATCTTAACTCAATAAAAAATAAAATAGAAGAAATAAAAAACAATATTTTTTGAATATTTTATAGAATAGTTTAATTATTTTGAGTGAAAATAGGAATCTTTAGAAGGGAGTTTCATGAATTTTTTTCAGTACTTTTATATTCTTATGTGGATGTTTTTATCATATAAAAGTATACTAGAGTTAGCATTAATCTTTAATTTATATTTTTTTATGAAGTCTATCAATGATTAGGAATAAACTTCATATTCTCTTTTGCATCGTTTTAACATACTTTAAATCAATCATTTTGTCATATTGGTTTTAAATATTCACATTCCTTGTATAACACTATTTTTATATTTTTCACTTTGCAATACTATACTTTCTCAAATAAAGCTTAGTTTCATATCGGTCAAAAATAATATAAAAATTTAAATTATTTTTAAATTATATTTGTTTTTTATCAATTCAAATATCAACATGAAAATTTAAATTGGGTGTATCCCATTTAAACAAACATAAAAAAATAATTGAGATGTAAGAGTTTAAAGAAAAAAATAAGCACAAACTGCCAAAAATACTTAATCATGATATTAAATCACGTGCATTGCACGTGTGTAAAATCTAGTATGAGAAAAATGGGTAGGTACCAAGCAAAAATTTTGTGTTTGGTAGTGAAGTGTCTCATTCTCATCCACTCATTCAATTGGAAGGACCACATTCAACCTATGTGAATGTGGTCCCTCTCATTTGAATGAGTGGAGGATAATATGTCACATCACTACCAAGCACAAATTTTATGCTTGGTACCAAACATACTCATATTCATCGTATAATAATATAATAACATATTAAATACTAGTACTTAATATATTGATAATGTATTATATAATAATAAAATATAAATGAATTGATAAAAAATAACAAAAAACTATCAATGATAAATAATAATATAATAATATAAATATAATGTTTTAATTACTATATTATTATTAACGTTTTAATAAATAAATTTTAATAAAATAGTAATTATAAAATATTGTATAATAGTAACCTATCTAACAATAAAATATATAATATAATAATATATTGTGTAGTAAATATAATATAACATATAAAATATTAATATATTATACACTAAATAATTAATATATTATAAAGTAAAATATTTTTTAATACTAAAATAATTTATTGCTAACGAATGTTAATGTAAAAATAATATATTTATAATATAATAATAATAATTTATATCATAAATTATTAAAATAGTATTAATAAACTTAACATATTAGGTTACTATAATATATTATATATATAAAATATTGTTAATATTATGAATTTATTAATAATATAGTAGTAAACATAAATATTAACGGTATTAATAATATTATATTATATTTATAATAATAATATCTAATTATATTAATAATAAAAATAATATATTTATAAAAATATATAATATATAAAACAAATTGATTAATAAAAAAATAAATATATATAATTATTTAAAAATAATATGTAATTATATAGATATAAATAATGATTATAATTATTGTAACTTATTAAAGTATAATAATAAAAAATATTATATATTATACCTATACTAATTTAATATATTATAAAGAAAAGTAATTTTTGCTAAGCAAATGTTAATGTATAAAATAATATATTTATAATATCTAATAATTTGACATTTTATCATAAATTATTAAGTTTATATAATCAATATCTGAACATAGAAACTATAATATAGTTATATAACATTCAAAATTTTTTTGTAAATATATGAATTTCCAATAATAATATGTAGTAATAACATAATAATTAACATTATTTTAAATATTATATTATATTAATAATAGTATACAAATTATAGTTATAATAAATAATATTATTTAAAAATCAATTATAAATAATATCATAACAATACAATTGAATATATGATAATAATTAAATATATAATTACTTGAAATAATAATATAATAATAATTGTAAAATAATATTACTCGATGTATAATATAATATTATAATATTATAACACATTATACAATATTTATTATATTTAATACTTATAATATTATAATAATACAAACTAAATATTGTAATATTTTATTTATAATATATTTTATTATAATTAATGTATAATATATTAATCATATGTTTAATATTAATGTTGTAATGAGTCAAACTAATGTTGAACAAAAACACTCAACATAGTGTTTTGAAAATACTTTTAAGAGAAAAACACAACACCATAGTATTTTTTTATAAAAACACAATAAGAAAAACACCATGGTATCCAAACCGAAGTATTGTAGCAAATCCTTTGTTTCCTATAATTTTCTCTTGTTACCTGAATGTCTAGTTTCCACTATGGGGTATTCTGAACAATGTAAAGATGATGTGGCGGCTTGTGATGTTGTATGTTTCTTTCAAGTAATTATCAACCGTGGGTGACTTGGATAGCTTGGAAGTTGTAATATGGCTCTCACGGTCTTACGGTTGACTACGGACTAGATTATTTAAATAAAAAAAGAGTAATTGCTTGTGGTCTAAAATCATGAAAAATGTTAATAGGCTACATCGTCCAGCTTGTGTATACGATTCTGCTAGGTATTATAATTTGTTAGTTTCTTGACGTGATCTCTGCTATGTATTATACTTTCCCATACCCCATTATACTTCGGTAGTTTGTTGATGTGATCTTTGTCAGTCATGGCATTAGGTAGTATAATGCGTGCATGATTGTTTGAACGTATCTATTCTGTTGGGATCATGACATACAACGTAGCGGAAAAAGCATATCATGACTATTAATCAAAATTAATTAAATATTAAAAGAATACCTGAAACGCTTTCCAAATTTCTACAATAATCTGTCCCGAGATCAATCCAAAATAGCTTCCTCAAGAGAAAAAGCCTCCAATTGAAATCCACCCGTCACCGTAGAGGAGCAATACTGAGAGATAGGTTCTCAAAAATCTATTTCTTCATATTATCTTCATAAGATTTTGAATCTCTTCTCTCTTCACCTCTCATAAGGCTACATATGAACCCTATTTATAGGATTACACTAGTCTTAGAGATTTTAACTTTAAACAATTCATAATTATCTAGAACTCTATCCATAACAATTAAGGATAGAATAGATTTGTTCAAAAACTTTATCCATAACAATTAAGGATAGAAATAGATTTATTCAAAAACTTTATCCATAACAATTAAGGATAGAAATAGAATTGTATTGCATGTATACCTCTTCTAATGACATTAGTGAGACCAATTGGGTCCCATATCAAGAACCAATTATTAATCAAATTAATAATTTTAATTTAACAATCAAATCCCTATCCGACCAATTGTTCATAAAAGCTCTTCCATAATATGGGATTAATTATTAATAAATAATATCTTACATTCAATCCCTTCCAGTATCATTTATTTTAGGCAACTCTTTTAAGCAGGACAACTCACCTATTTGCTCATGCCTAAATTTGCAATTCCCATGAACATAAATAAAAATTATTTTGAAACATCAAAATATTTTATTTTTTATAAGAAAATAAATTTTGTAAAAATATTTTCAAAGCTACCTGCCGGCAGGAATTTAATAGCTTCATGGGAATGCATAATAAATTAACTCATCATAATGAGCATACTGGATCCTATCTAGACATCCATCATTTTCCTAAATGAAATTTAGCAACCCAATGTTTCAGGTTGTGTAGCGCTTGCTAAACAAGCTTAACCATCACATCAAAGCATACTAAATTATCAAATCGAAAATGATAATATCATCAAGTCAAAGGGACCATGTAACAATTTGAACTCTCTATCTCTTAGGTGACTCATCCTAGAGAATTCAAATACGGTCTAGTGCTACACACATCATAATGCGTGCTTATGACATACACCCGGAGAATCTCCATTCTCGATGGTTGAGACCCACCACCATATCTCATATATCGGTGTCATGCATAATAACCTGTTATAACAAAGTTATCCTTTACTAGTTATAGGTTAAGCACAAATTTAAGAAATTTCTAAGTTAGATCATATCTCCAAGCAAGTGACCATCACAATGCATGATCTAACAAAATAACTTCTAAGGATATATATAACAATTATATAAATAATAACCAAATTATGTGCAACAATTAAATTTATTAACATTACAATATTATTACATAATTTGTATTGGATATTCAAGGGTAAATTATTATTACTATTCCAGCATATTCTTCTATACTTACAGGATGATCTAAAGATTTACTATTTATACTACAGTAAATACTACAATGAATTAATAGAGCATCATTACTGTTGTAATCAGGGCCGGCCCAAGCTTTTTTGAGGCCCTGTGCGAAATGATAAAATGAGGCCCTCTTCTATATAAATATTGAACTATAAATTTATTGAATTATATTTATTGGTGTGTTTCCTAATTAATAGGGAATAGTTAATTGGGAATTAATGAGTTCAAATTGAATTTCCTAAACTTTAGGAGACAAATGAGCAACTAATCATAATTGTAGTACTAATTGGTGTATATTTCCGGTAAAATGTAAATCAGATGGGTCATGGGTGTTAGGCAGTTAGGCTTAGGCAATGGACATAAATTATTATTTAATTTAGTGGGCTAGTATTAGATTATTAGGCCCTTTTTTAAACAAACAAAAGACTTATTAGAAAGAATTAAGAAATATACTATGGGCATTTTTAAAAATTTGGGGCCCCCTTTGAAATGGGGCCCTGTGCGGTCGCCCCCCCACCCCCCCTCTTGGGCCGGGCCTGGTTGTAATATTACCGCATCACAGAATAGAATACCGTAGCATGCTACAGTGAATTACTATGGCACAGACAGTATATTGTAGCACTTTAAAATTATTTCCGTGGCATTCACAAAAATGTAACATTTAAACCAGAATTACTGTAGCAGAAACAAAAAAAGGGGGCCGTGCTTTGCACGGGGTACACACTAGTTATGTATATATGAAACGCTCAAACTCCGACATTGTGGTTTGTGTTTCATTCCTCTTATTTTCTTTATTTTGCTAGCTTAAAGAGGCTGAATGAAGTGCAGGGAATGCAGATTGAATGTGAAATATTTGTAGACGATGAACCCTGCTTGTTTTCTTGTTATTGATTTCGTTTCCATTTGAATTGAGAGCGCAAGTCATTAAATTCCGTTTGTTGGCAAGGCGAGGTTTTTCTTCTCTGTTTTCCAAGAGATAATTAATGATATTTTTGGCTTGTTTCGAATGCCAACTGGGAATGCACAATCCTGTAGGCTCCAAATGGAGAAAAACCGAGAAGGCATTTCGTTTCTACTCCTCGTTCCAAATTGCACCGAGCTTGAAGTGTCATGTTTTAGGTACCATCACGTTTCCCATTAATGACCTTTATAATGACATTTTGACTAATGCATCCAGTGGTTTTTAATAGGAAATTTCTAGACTTGGTTCTAGCCACCAGTATTCTTCTATGGGATGCTTAGGAGAATCAAACTTCTGATGAGTTCTGCATTAAAATGAAAACAAGAATAATACCGTTCCATATATAGATTTGAAATGAGCAATTAGAGTAATCAATTACTCAACTTCGCATTTTCCTTTCACTTTCCTAAGGGGAGAGCAAAGAGAACCCTGCCAGAAAAAGGTTCCCTACTCTGTTAATTTCCTAGCATTTTCACATTATAATCCTTACGACATTTCCGGGTTGTAAGAGAACTTATTATCCCTGACTCCCGTTTATCTTTCTCCTACCCCATTAAATATTTTTTGGTCATTTTGACAGATAAACGATAGCATATAAGCCGTCAATTTGTCAAACACTCTACTATTAAAATGGATTACAATCCACTAAATTTATCGGACACTTTGGTTTATGACCCATTTGTGGATCATAAGCCCAAGGTTGCAAGACGTGCTCATTCTGGGGTGTTAATCAAGGTATAATCTCCTATCCCTTCAAAAACATAGAAAAGTTAATTGTATTGCGGGTCAAAATATGATGAAATTTCTAGACTGCCACTTTCTTGCTTCAAAATTCAAAACAATCATCAGCTTCGATACTTAAACAAACCATGCTCGCCACAACACACTACTAAACAACTTGCTACCTTTTTTTGCTTTCCGCACATCACTGTAACCTTATCCATCATTAAAAGGGGTTCATCATCAAAGCTCTGTGCAGCCCAAATGACTGAATTCGAAAGCTCCTTGTTCCCACCTTTCAAGGACAAAAAGTCCAAGGCCATACCAAACCTCAGCCCACTCCAACTCATCCCCTTTTCAAATTTTGAACGCTCTACCAACCAAAGCAACGAAACAAATTTATAATACTAAAACGAACACATGCAAACAAATTACTTAAAAACCATAATAAGAGTTTACTATTATTTATGGACTACATTGAAATTATCCACTACTACATTATCATATGTTTTTACAATACAGGTCCTTAAAAAACTACCACGACTATCTATACCACCCTCTCTCAATCAGCCTGTGAAGAGAAAACTGTAGCCATCCGCATCTCCAAAACTTTCTTGTGAGAGTTCGAGTGCTTGAAGCTCTCAAAGGTTGGGCTCTTAGCAGGCCTGTACTCGGGCAAAAGCCTCCCGGACTTGAACCTAACTCCACAAGCATTGCACAGAGTTTTGGGCCCTAATGGGCCTGCTCTCCACTGTGGTGTCTTGTAGGAGAGGCAGTGAGTGCACCTTCTTGGGCCTTGGCTCTCATCTTGGGCCAGGACCTGGGCCTTTACCTCCTGCCCCTGTGGCTTCAACTGTGGGCTTGGGCTTTTGTTGTTTTCAGTTTCCTTTTTGGGGAAAATGAGCTCGCTGTCAGCAAGCCAATAGGCTTGAGGGAGGAGAGGAGGTGGGTCTGAGGAGCTGAGGCTCACGTGAAAGCTGTGAAGGGAGTTGGTTTGGTTGGTGTTGATTTTTCTTCTTTTGGTCCTGGTTTTGGATGGGACTGGGGTTGGGTCCTTTGTCGCTTGAGTGGGCTTTGGGCTTTCATGTTGGGAGTCTACTGGGCTTGCGGTTTGGTGAGTGGCGGTGGTTGGAGCGGGAGTGGGGAACCCTCCATTGAGACAGTCTTCAACAAAGACTGAGAGCCATTCTAGGCTCACTCCACCTCCTCCTTCCTGCATTCAAAAAATAAAAATAAATAAATTTATTAATTATAATATTTTGAAGAAGAATTAAAGAAAAAGAAAAAGACCCAATTCTGAAAAAGGGGAAAAGCATAACTTTGCAAACAAGTTAAGTGGGGGGAGATTCAGAATGGCTATTTTTATTTTTATTTTTAAATTTTGGAATTTCAAGAGAAACCCATTACCCAAATGTTTGAAGGGGTGAAGATTAAATTAAAAAACCCAACCAGATAAAATTCAAAAAACAAGAGAGGAGGCCGAGAGAAGAGGGGGAAATCCCAACTTTGATTGAAAACAAGGGGAAATGAAACTAACCATGTTGTCAAAAGAGAGAAAATCATCAACTACGTTGCCTGAAACCGCCGCATTCGAGTGGACATCCATTGTCAAAGCAAAGAACCTAGAGAGAGAGAGAGAGGATTTTTTTTCTTCCTGAAGAGAGTGGGTTGAGAGAGAGAGAGAGAGAGAGAGAGAAGGAGAGTGTTGATATTGAGGCAACAACTGCCTCTCTCCAGTCCCTTTTTATTTCCGCGTTCTTTTGTCGGCAGAGGACAACACTCAATAGGCCCTCTCTATCCCTGAAAAGTTTCAAATTTTGAACCCTCTAAAATTTTCCCAAACTTTTAATTGTTTTTTAATATAAATGACTAATTTTTTAAGGTAAAATTGTGTAAATATCCTAATATAAAGAGTAGCATGTGATCTGGCCCTTTTACCTTTTTCTTTTTCGTTATGATCAAACCCAAAAAATATCATTTCATGTGATTCAGCCTTTTATTTCCTGTCAATTAAGTATAGAGAGAAAAAAAACATAAAACAAAGAAATACCCTCATTTCCTCCTCTTTTTTTCTATCCAAATCTAAATCTCCACGACACCCTCTTCCTCTTCTCCTCTCCTCTCCTCCGCTCTCCTAACTCATCTCCTTTCTCCTCTCCTCTCCCTCCCCAGCCACCGGCGGTCTACCAGCACTGTAGCAAACATGCACAGTCAGTTTCCAAATTTTGACAGTTCTGGAATTTTGCGTATCTGACTTTGTAAAATCAATTAAAAATAGTAAATCAACTCCAAAAATCATAAAATTTTGAGAGAAGGTTTTAGACATATATATTAACATGTTAGAGAAAAAATTTCTAAAAACTCACTTTCCAGTTGAGAGAAATAAATGTTTGAACACAGATAAATAGTTTCTAAAAAACTGCTGAATATTCGTTTTTGTAAATTCAATTGAAAATAACAAAACAACTCCAAAATTGGTAAAACTTGGGAAAATGTTTGTATATATGAATATAAACATGTAAACAAAGAAAATTTTTCAAATTATATTTCTCATATGTAAAAACTCATGTATTTTATAAGTATGTTCAAAAGATGAAAAGTTGATATACATGAAATTTGATGTTTTCACATAAACACAATTTTGAAACATTTTCAAACATTCTTATAGACTTAATAAAAGATGTATATCGTGATTGTTAAGTCCATAAACAAGAATATAATATTTTGACGAGGATGCACATGTTTTGCAATATATCCAAAACCATAATTTGTGTGTGTGTGTGTGTGTGTGTGTGTGTGTGTATATATATATATATATATATATATATATATATATATATATATGAGAAAACGGGAGGTGAGCTGGCAGCGTAGGAAATTTCCTACGCATATATGACTATATATATATATAAAACCAAAATGTGTATATATATATAACTATATATATTTATAGGAAACCAAAACATGTATGTACATATATAACTATATATATACATAGAAACCAAATACGTGTGTGTATATATGATTGAGCTTAAAGTACCAATACACATAATATAAATCTAAACTAATGTTACCCAAGCTTGATCTAAATCTTCAATAAGCTTGACTTAGTAAACTCACGGATGAAGCTAGAACTTAGATCTTCAATTTGAATTGCATAGGCTTCACTCCATAATTCTGCGAACCTCCATTGGATTTGATCGTTGAAGCGTAATCCATCTAACCTCCAATACGTTGTTTGTCTACAATTGATACAAAAATACAAACACTAGATAAACAACATTAGAAGTAAATTGTTTGTAAATCATCATCAAAACAAGAAGACCAACATGAACAATGGTTTTTGGAACTATTAAGATCACGTTTGAACAGGCCAAATGCAAGTCGTGCGTTGCTAGGCAGGAACCTTGCGTTTGAACGCAGCATTTGGAAGCTGCGTTAGCAGTTGAGTTGAGTTGCGTTGGTGGTTGAATCGAAGCTGCATTGCTTTGGCTTTTTAACGTGACTATTTGTGTTTCACTGCTGAAATGAGTTCTATGTCTTAGACTGAAGAGATTATTGACTTGTAATCTCTTTGATCGTCGTTTTGTAATCTTTGCTTTAGCTCTCTAAAATATAAGAATTGTGAGATTGTAACTCTCACTATTGATTGTGAATACTGTTGAATCAAAGCTTTTATCGATTATTGTGAAGGTCATAGAATTATAACCTTTCTCGATCTACGTGAAAATCTTCCAATTGCAGCTAATGTTTGTTGACATAAAAGTCGTCTGGTTGTAACTTTCCTTATTAAGATGCTGATGTAGAAGTCGTCAGTTTGTAACTTACATCCTTTGTGTTCAATGGGTATTAGCTATTTATTATGATTTTTAGACAGCCTACAACAGCGCATTAGACTTAACATATGACGAAATACACTTAACATTGGTTCGATGTTAAGTCTAATATGTTGGAAATGAAGTCCAATGACTTGTATATTAAGTATAATGGATTATATGTTAAGTATAATGAGTTGGAAATAAAGTTTATGTT